CGGGGTCTTTTGTTTTGTTAAACAAGTGCAGTAGGTGCTGATTTGCGGTGTGGAGCCGAATGCCTGGGGTTCCCTACTACTGGAGGAAAAGTGCGAAGGTTACTCTCTACTAACTGTGCCTTGGCCAGAACTACTGAATAAGTATTGAGCTCGAGCACATACAACTGCTGTCTGATCTCAGGACGAAGACCCCACTCGAATCTTCTAGCCTTCTTGCCTTCATCTATCATGCTCTTAGGGGAATATTGGCCCAACTCTAGGAACCTGCGAGTATATTCTGATACAGTCATGTTCTCCTGGACCAAGTGTGCAAACTTCCTCTTCTTCAGATGTCGGAGATGCTCTGGAAGGTACTTTGCATGAAAGACTGTCAAAAATTATTCCCAAAGGACTGGAACAGGCAAGGTGGCCTGCTTGAGTTACCATCAGCATGTAGGTAACAAGGATGACTTTCTGTTCAGGAATCACACCAAGGGTTGTGAAAACCTTCTCTGTCTCAGCTAACCAGTACTCAACCTCTTCAATAGAGGATCCCCCTGTAAAAGTAGATGGATTTAGTCTTTTATACATTTTAATGTAGCTTGGTTCCATCATAGGAGGAGTTGGGTCCCGTGGAAGAGGGACTGGACTGTGCTGAGGATATAATAGATGACCCTGCAGTAGTACTTGATGATACGGTGGAGGTATTGGATTGTACTGTGGTGGTGCCGGGTGACGCAGTTGGGGCACCGGGCCATACTGTGGTGGTGCCAGGTGGTACTGTGGCTGGAGCACCGGATTATACTGTGGTGGTGTCGGGTGGTACTGTAGAGGAGCAGGGTCATACCGGAGTGGCTTGTGATCCTTTCGCTACAGGGGTGGCTCAACCTGTGGCAACGGGAGAGGGTCAGGTAGCTCCCTCCTTTCCTCCTGGGCCTGCTAGGTAGCAATGAGTATCTCTAGCATCTCAAATAATCGGTCAACATCCTCTCTAAGTGAACCCTCCTGGGCTGCTCAATTTAGTGGGAGTCTTCCTCTCCTCATCTATCTGTACTTGCATTTCATAAGGAATGATTGAGTAATAATTCATTATTTTTTATGTTTCCTAAGGATTTTGTGTAAGGAATAGGGTCCGAGAAATGCGGCATTGATACCAACTGTAATGACCTTGGAATTTCAAAGGAAATAAATCATAAATTAAGTGCGGAAAAAAATAATTAGTTGGTTTACATTCCTTACACAATAACTTAAAGTATCAAATAGTACTATGAGAAATACTCTTTTGAAGGAAATACAAAAAAATTAAGAAAACAAACGAAAAATAAATAAAACAAGCATCCTACTCAAAACTCTCTTGTGGATTGGGTTCTAGATCCTGGTCATCTTAATCTGAAATTGTTAAATAGGGAATGAACTACATAAGTCCAGTAAGAATATCACACTACTCACCAATACATAAATGAAGGTTGGTTAAAAAATCAAAACAACTAATAGAGCCCTTAATTAAACAAATTCATTTATCATAAATAAAATCTTTTACCATCTACTTATCATAGTGAGATTTACAAACAACTTATAAAGATAATAACATAACACAGATCATGATTTCATATGTAATCGATTTGAACAACAATTTTATCCTTTATCAGCCTATTAGTATTTATGGGGGTTCATAGAGATGTCCCCAAAATGTGTGAACCCTTTCCTTTAACATTTTTAATTAACGGGTCGTCCCCATACACTGTCTGGTATAAGCACCATACTACTAAACCTCAATACCTCATCCGGTATGAGGGTGAAATGGGTCATTTTCATACCCCGTTCGGTATGAGGCAACGTCCACGGTAGGGTTCCCTTTGTACCCACTCCGTCCACCATCTCACAGGATATCCAATAAGGCTTCCATTTTATCATTCACTTAATCATGCAATTTTTCTTTTTCCTTTAATCTCTATTTTTTCCAATTCAACCGTAAACACATAAAACAAATAATAGATGCATTCAAAGCTATAAAATCGATCAATTAGATACTATCATGCATTTAAACCGTAAAAATAATCAACAGAAACAATAGTAGATAATTTTTTGTTCTAGCTTCATTAGTGACCCATAATTAGTTATGGATACTTTCTAAATTATACAAAACATCGTATTATTGTTAATTTGACTTTAATTCTATAACATAGAATAAAGTGAGAAATTCTTACTCAAATTGGTATCTGAAAAACTAAATTATTGACTGTGCTTCAGGCAGTCCCCGGATTCTCTGAATTTTTTCTTCGGGGATTAAAACGCTCAACAATTACTTATAAATATCCCAAAAAAAACCTAAAATCAGTATCAGGACCCCTTTTTGGCCAATTCCAGAATTTTGGCACGGCGGCTCCCTTATGCTCCAGCGGCGAGCGGCGGCGGTTTGCCTCAAGTTGGCTATTTTTGGCCGTTTTCGGGTGAATTCGGCCGATTTTGCATCAATCCCTGCGAGAAAACACGTTAAGGTGCCTCGATTGGCCCAAAAAAATGAAAAACCAAAACTCACCGGTGGCGGGGCTCTCCGGTGCGACAGTTCTGCTGGCTCACTTTTGTGATTGAGTGTTTTGCTTTGGTCAACTTGTAGAGAAGGAAATGGTGATTACAACGGTGGAAAAATTTCATAGAACGGGAATCGAAAAAGGCTTCATCGGAGGTAATTTTTTATAATTTTCTACGGTGGCGCCGTCGGACTTTACTCGCAATTTTCAACCAATCAACCAGTCCTTTTGCTCTAATTTATCCATGGGGGTGTTTATAATTGAATTCCGAGCAAGGAGAGAAATTTTTATCTCTTTTGGCAGTCGAAAATGGCTCCAGCGCGGCGGCAGGTGACGGCGGCGGCTTCCTTCTCGGCGGCTGGGTCTTCTTCTCCGACGAGGAGGTCTGGCGGCTAAGGTTAGAGTTTGGTGTAAAGAGGGTTATTTATATCTGTCCCCATTTAATTTGGATCGTCTATTGCGTTTGATCTGGACTATCCGATCACGATTAAATAGGGGGTGAATGTACAACTGTTCATTGCAATCTGATCTGGATCATCTGATCTCGTTTAAATAAAAAATAGATCTGAACTGTTAATCACGTTTAAATCTGACTGTCCGATCACGTTTAGGGAGGGAACGCATCCGGACCATCCGTGCGCGCGTGAATGAATCTGTGTCATTCGATTGCGGGCACGTGGATCGCCCGCGTGACCTCTTACGTGGCACCGGGTCAGCGTCCGTTGCCACACGACGCGTTCTGATTTGTCGGAACTATTGATTGAGCATCCTACATGGCATAACTTTCTCAAATTATATTTTGACTCACAGTTTCTGATTTTTCTTTTAAAAATACTCTCAGAATCTAAATTTTCACCATTTTTTCTAAAATTATTTTCAATTTCATCATCCATCAAATTTTTTCATTTTTACACTAAATTAAAAATTAAAAAATTATATTTATAAATTAATTTAAATTACAAAGAAAAAATTTAATTTGGGTAGTACACTAGTTAAGTTTTAAATGAAGGACTGCAACTCTACTTGTACACCAGCAAAAACGGGGTTGAAGCATTTCAAAGATTCTCAAAGTAAAAGAATTAATTATACATTTTACAAGCAAATGGTGGAGAGCTTAATGTATTTAACTACTACAAGACTAGATATAATGCATGTTGTAAGCCTCATTAGCAGATTCATGGATTGCCCAAGGGAAATATGTCTCTTAATTGCAAAACAATCTTCATATACTTGCAAGGAACAACTGATTATGGCATCATGTATAGGAAGGGAGAAAAAATAGAGTTGTTTGGTTTACAGATAGTGACTATGTTAGAAATCCAGATGATAAAAAAAGCACATTTGGTAATGTCTTCATGATGTGGTCTGGAGCAGTATCATGGTCTTCAAAGAAGCAAGCAATAGTCACTTTGTCGACAACCGAAGCCGAATTTGTAGCAGAAAGTTCGTGTGCGTGCCAAGCTGTTTGGCCAAGGAAAATTCTTGCAGCACTTCACTTCAAACAAAAGGGAGTTACAATCATTTTTTGTGACAATAATTCTGCAATTAAGTTGTCCAAAAACCCAATTTTTCATGGGAGGAGTAAGCACATAGATGTTCGGTACCATTTTCTATGAGATCTTACAAAGAATGAAACAATCGATCTTGTGTACTACAAAAGTGAGAATCAAGTTGCTGATATGGGTACAAAGGCCCTCAAACAATCGAACAATAGATGTCTGGTACCATTTTCTATGAGATCTTACAAAGAATGAAGCAATCGATCTTGTATACTGCAAAAGTGAGGATCAAGTTGCTGATATGTTTACAAAGGCCCTCAAACCAAGTGCATTTCAGAAGCTCAGAAAGTTATTTGGAGTTTGTTCAAAGAGTTCAATTTAATTTAGATTTTGTTTTAGTTTAAGAGAGTATATTAGATAATTAGTCAGTAGCATTTAACATGTGTTTAATAAGTTAAGAAATTAGGTGTGATAAATATGCAAAAACTCAATAAATAAGTTTGATTTATATTTTGAATTCGTCGGATCTAATTTTATAATTAATTAGTTTGTGTAAAACTTATTTAAAGGGTTGTTGCTTAATGAAAAGAAGAGCATTGCATTTCTTTCATATTCTTTCACTTACTCTTGCTGCCATTTTAACAATTAGACATGTTAACCTAAATGAATTTCTTTTATACTCCTGATCAACCAAATATTGGAGACTGAAAATTAAATAACTAAAAAGAAAGTTTGGTTTATGGATTAAAAATAAAACTTATAACAAAATAAGTAATTATCCTAGCGATTTTCATTTTAAAATATTTTTTTTAAATCAAACTAAATTTAAACAGACAAATGCTTTTTTTTTGAGAAAAAAAGCTCCGAACTACTAAAGTTTTTTAGAAACTTAAAATAAAAATTAAACTATTTCCATTTTGAAATTTTAAAAGCAGAAACTGTAAAACGTTTAGATCAAAATCAACTACAACAGAAGATTTTCATAGCAGCATTGCGTATATGTAAATATAACATTTGTATAGCAAATCATATGACTGAGATTGATGACTGATACAAATGTAAGACACATTATACTCTACCCATATATACTACTAATAGAAAATCTATCTAGGGTAGTTCACTGGTGGTTCCAAGCTCCCAACAAGAATCCCAAGGTCAATGTCTTTGTCTTCGAACTTTTTGATGAAGGGATGACTCTGTAAGCAGAAAGAAAAGGATACCAAAAGTCAACTTTCTTTTCTGGCCATTAGGATTAATGCTTCGTACGTATATATATATTGTTATATGTATTCGTCTGTATCAATATATTACTTACCAAGAGATCCAAAGAGGATGATCTATCTCGAGGATCCTTTTGTATGCTGCCAGTGCAAAGGACAGAAATCAGCAAAACCATTTGTATGAACATTCTGAAGTTTAGAAGTAAATCTATGATAAAAATTATTCTTCTAACAATGACAACATCCATTTCCTCAAATAATAATAATAGTAATAATAATAATAATAATAATAATAACAACAATAACAACAACATCCAAATTTTAAGATTAATCTATGGCGAGCCTAATAATATATTTGCAATGTCAGGAATGTAATTGTAAACAGACCAGAAGCAGAAAATATCTAGCGTAACATAAAGACCTTATTGTATGCATGGGATAGATGGGTTAAACATTATTCATCATAGCGTGAAAGTTTCTAGAGTCTACCAACAAGCAGGTATGAATAATCTTTTCTCTTGAGAAATAGCATCATATTGAGTAGACTTCCTGATTTTAGATTTGAAGAATTTTTTTTTATCTGAATGAAAGCTAATTGTAGTTTGTTCGACCATGAGGATTTGGAATTGTCAGCAAAATGGAAACAACTGAATTTTTTAAGGGAGGCATAAAAAATGGACTTCAAACTAATAATGAAAAGGACTCACTTAAAGTGACACATTAGAAGACACAATCTTCGTGACTTCTTGTGGTCTAAAATTAAAAAGATTCTCTAGTTAAGGATGGTCTAGGATTGCACTTAGATTTGCACTTACAAGCCTAGGCAACAAAGGGTATTTGGTGCAGGCTTCAAAACAAAAAAGAAGGCTAGACCAGATTGACTAGACTGGAACTAGGAGTGCAAGTACTGATAAACAAAATAAGAAAGTAAACTCATTGAAAATTCATGATTTCCTTTTATGGAAAAGTACAAATTTATCTTATGCAGCTTATTACCAGGCTGATACAAAAGAGCAGAATTCTGGGGAGAACTGATCTGGAGGAGCAGAAGGGGGTGGACTATTCACAATTGCTTCCAAAAGCTCATAGAAACTAGGGCAGCTTTGCTGATCTTCAGATCGTATATAAGGAAAGCGCCCTATAGCACACTCAAGTACCACCATTCCCAGACTCCAAATGTCACTGCTGTAATCATATGTGCTCCCGCTGATTCTCTCAGGCTAAAATAGAAGAAAAAAATAGTTACATTTTGAGATGCGGATCAAATATGTGGTATCCACAATTAATATAAACATGGAAAACAGACGTGCCAAAAGTGACTGAATTGATTCAGACTCGTAAATTATTATTATTATTATCTTTCAGGTTAAGATCTTACAAAAGATTTAGAAGAACAAAGATTCTACATACCGACATATAGTTGTAGGTCCCGACAAATGTATCCCTTTGGCCCATAGAGCTAGCTAACACTGCACTCACCCCAAAATCAGTAATTTTCACTTCACCTTTATGATTTACCAGCAGGTTGGATGGCTTTATATCTCTATGTATAACATGCCTTTCGTTGTGCAAGTATACAAGGCCTTGTAAAACCTGAAACTCAGAAATAACTTGTTTGAGCCATGTCAACTACTCTAATGAGTAGCTGAATATTTTTGAATGCCACAGAGGCTCACAAACCTGCTTGCATACAACAGCAAGGTATGGTTCGAGAATTGTCTTAACTTGTCTGATAACATCTGCTAGAGATCCACGGTCCATGTACTCTAATACAAGAGAAATCACTCCATTGTGATAGAATGAATGATAGCAAACTACAACATGTGGACATTGTGATGCTTGGTTTATTTTTAGTTCCTGCACAATTTGTTTGCGGATTTCCTCTTGTATAGTCATCTGGATGGCCTGCATTTCATGACATTATTTCTTGACTGAAATCAAAGTTCTTGCTCTGAAGCAGCTTATCAGTTAAGAACTGCTCAATGTGTTTATCTCATAAATAGGAAAGGACTCACTATCATTAATTTTTTAAGGGAAAATGTTTCTTTAGGAACTCTGAAAGGAAGTGTTAATGTTCTAAAAGAGTGACCAAGCATTACAATCGAATTAATTCAGCATATCAGAAGAAAGAAAAATGCTGCTCAATTTTGACTATAGGTTTTAAAGATTAACAACCCAATTTTAACATTAATGCACCAAAATGAAAGGGAAGTCTGCTTTTAGGTTATTCATTGTACTCTTGTATGCAACTACGTGAATCAATTAATCATATATTAGATTTAGTAAAAAAGAAACAAGGTAATCTCCAATCCATTCATGTGATATTATTACTGGATATTGAAATATTTACAACTTTGACTGCCAAGTCATACTCTTAATGAAGGTACTGGATCTTAACTTATTCACCCATTCTTCCTTTTTCTTACGAGTTACTTACATGCTTTACTTACATGAGTAACAAATTCGGCAAATGCTACCTTCTATTTATCTAAATGTTAAAAGTCTCGTTTCTTTACTTAATATGCTATTCATGGGTAGTCAGTATGTGTTCATTAAGCACAAGGTGAGATGGCTGAAATTAGCAACTTCTATGCTTCTCAGGAACAAAAGGCAGAAGCACATAAAATCTAAAACTATCTAGAAACAGGGTAAGACAAGTTAGAAAACATAAAAGATAAATTCCAGTGAGTCAGAAAGCAAGTAAAGAAAACTAAAAATGCAATAAAAAGTATCTGATTTGGTAGTATAATTACCTTCAAAGCAAACAATTTACCAACCCATTTATGACGGACAAGTTGCACCACACCACCACTTCCCTTTCCAATGACTTTAACGGTCTCCAGATCTTCCAGCAAGAACTCAAAATCAAGTTCCTTGCAGTCAGAAGGCTATAACATAGGCAAGAAAGACAGATAGTTTGAGTTTTCCAAACCATATAGACCAAAAATTACACATAATCATGAAAAGAAGAAAATAATAACGGAGGAAGTTATTGAGGAGAAGGTAAAATAACACAAAAGAGCTTTTGCTACCAGCAATTTTATAGGATTGGTCATTACAGAAGAGTTCAATCCTATGTTTGATGGTACAAACTTATATTTAGAACTGAACCAAAAAGTAATGCACAAAGAACAAGTTTGTCCTCAACTTTTTTTAGAATTTTTGCTTGATGACAATTTCGTGAGGTGGAAGATTCGTGCTATTGTTTTAATGCTATTGACCTCCAATAAGTGTAAAACATCTTGAGGATGAGTTCATTATGCCATATTTGTCATTTCCTTCTTTCAATTCTCTTGTATTTTAGAAGCCTGAACTATTAGTTACTGAACTCTTGAGGTAGGCTATATTGTGTGTCTAGAAATTTTGATAATTATGCAAACTTTAATCAATATCAGATGATTAATTTCCTTGGGAATTCTCTTCTTCTTCTCAGTCCCTTTGTGATATCCAGTTCCATATTGAAAAGAGAGATAACTATTTCTATATGATAATTCAAATGACATACTATCAATAAATTTATATTAAACTTTTAAGGGCAAGTGGTTACAATCTGAAACTTGTTAAGCTAGTGGTTGTTAGACTCGGAAAGTTAAAAATAGCATCAGAACACATGTCAGTACGGTGACTCCAGTTTGATATAGTTCTAAAGTTTGTGAGTTTTTAAGTTATAATTTGTAATAATTATGTAATTCTGATGAGAACATCAAAAATTTAAAAAATAAAAATTGTGATACATTAATTTTACATTAGAAAAATATGTCATTGTTACTTTCCATAAGTGTTAACGAAAACATTAAAAATTTAAGTAATAAAAATTGTGATATTTCAATTCCATATTATAAAAAATATATAATTTTACCTTCCCGATGAGAATTTAAGTGACACACTACTAATAATTTTAAAATAAATTTTTCGAAAGTCAATGTTTTCAGCCCGAAATTGTTTGGTTAGTGATTCTTGGGTCTAGAATGTCTCACATTACTTCTTTTAAGTCCAGTCCTAATTCTATCTATTAACTATTATTCATTGTTCATGTTAGGGATCATCATAAATAAATATGGTCTATTATTTTTTTAAAAAAATTAATTTTTTATATAGATAGTTTGAATTTTATTATAAACTTGACTAACTAAATTAAAAAAGTATTAAAATCATTATTATTATTACTAAATAATAAAATAATACTAATTTAATATATTTGTGTACACATATACATTACTATTGTTTTCAATTCCACAAAATATTAAAGTAAACATGGAAATTATATCGATGACAATTTAATAACTATATATTATGTTTTGTATTTTTTACTTATCATCAAACAAAATATAGAACCAGTTTGTTTAAATCGATCTCATTCTACCAAGACATTACTTTACATTGTCTTGTTCTATATTTGCTTATTTAGTTCTATTTTGTTCAATTTATTTAATTTCATCAAACACTAAAAGTACACCCACCCAATAAGGGACAAAATGTTGAGAATCAGATCATGTCTTAATTGATATCGTGAGTGTTTTATCTAGGTACCCTTAAGCTTTACATACAGCCATAAGAATGAGAAGATTGCTATTCAAAGGCTTGTGATTTGGTTAAAGTTGATCATATTGATCAAACCAAAATATTAATGAAAAGAAGAAAGTGAAGAAAAGCTAAGGACATGAAAATTATTTTGTGGTTGAGCTATGCCTTATATTCGCTAAGATAATTAAGAACGAGAAACTATTCAACGAAAAAATTTAAACTAATTGCTTCTCTTGAGTTTTAAGCAAAGAAGTGAAATATACACGGCTAAGTATTTGACTTGACATAGAAAAGACTTTGATCCAAATTACCAAAACACTAAGGGTTCTTAGTTTTCAGATGATAACTAAATGACCTTAGGAAAATTTATTGTGGACCTAAATCAATGGAAGCTTACACGAGATTCTTTCTCTTCAGATATGAGACGCAAACCTTTCTGATTTAAAAGCAAATCCCCGTCATGAAATGTACCACTTGCAGTCCTGAAAATTAGCAGAAGAGAAAATACAATTGACTATAAAATCTAACCAAAAATAAATTTAAATATAGATAAATACCATTAAAAAACATATATCGGTTACAACGAGCGTGGTCTAATGGTGAACAGCGAACTTAGCAGCCCAGGACCCCAGTCATTCAATAATTGTGAATTTCACGATTATAGAGGTTAAGTCTGGATTTTACGATTACAGAGTCACTTAGTAATTGGACGCTATTGAAGCTTAACAACGAAATTTTGGATTCTCTTGGATCTTTTTATACTTCCACATAGCCAAAGAGAGGCCAAGTGCAGGGAATCAAAATATAGAAGCAAGAAAGGGAGATAATTAATCAAGAGAAGAGGAAAGGGGGAAAAAGATGTGTAGAAGTGCAGAGATAACGAAATCAAAATGTGATCATGATATGAAAGTAAACTTACAAGAAGGAAGAAATTGGGGTTTCTTGAGCTGGAACAGAGAGCTTAAGTTGCTTCAATGGTGTTTTGGTCTTCATGGCGTCTGACTGAGTCGATTGGTCTCTTGTCTAGGGTTATAACCTGGGACTGCGAGAGAGAGAGAGAGAGAGAGAGAGAGAGAGAGAGAGAGGGGGAAGTGAATTAGAGGAGGATGTTTTGTTTTTAATGAGAAATAGTCGTTAAAAAGTATTTGAGAAGAATTCAAATGAGAAAGACCGCGCAAAAGTTATTTGTTAAAATAATTATTACTTATTTATGTACAAATTGAGGGGAAAAAAAAAAAGAGAAAAAATCCCATGCGACCGTACCTACTCTATCATTATTGATTAGTCCTCCGGCTTTAATTTTATTTGTTAATTTTCAAAATTACAACTACATTTTCTTTAGTTTGGTTTATTTTGTAATATCTTCAATATTTAAGAAACCATTTGAATTGAATTATTATTTTCCTTAATTTTTAATGATCTAAAAAATAAACATTTTAACCCATAATCTGCAGTCCAGTCTGCCCCAACTAACCGTATTCGACTGTTTCTTCCCTAACCCGGCCCCAACTTGCAGCAGGCCTGAAAAATCCACCTCATTCATTCATTCATCCGTCTGTATCTGCCAAGCGGCTCAAACCACATCAAAAATAACTACCTCAAAGGGGAGTCATGATCTGGCTCTGCCGCCACCGCCGCCGTGAAGATGATGTCATGATATGAAGAAGCGGGGCAAGGCCAGTGAAAAGCAAGGATGGAAAGAGGGGGGTGGGTTCAAACCCGAACCTGTCGGTGTGATCAAAACCGAATCTCTAATCTGAGGCGATATGAAGAAATGTTCTAATAATCATCAAGATTAAACAATAAATATTATAAAAGAGCATAGATTTAGCGAAATAAATCCCCTTTTTAGGAGACTCTAAATTAAGGCATTGTTTGTGGGGAAAATACAAAAAAAAAAAAAAAAAAAAAAGGAAGTTGCCATTATAAATTAAATATTATCATGTATATGTCCGTCCATACATCTTCTCATTCAAAAATTAAAAATATAATTTATTAGTTTTTATTTTTAATTAATAAATTAAAAAAATAAATTCATCTATTTCAGTACTTACTGGTACAATAATTTTCCTGCAACAAAAATATAAAAACAAAATATATCAAACCAATAGTTGAAGACAAATCTACAGTAACTATTTTCAAATGAGGAGTGGTTAAATTTTAAATTTTAATTTAACCATATTATTCTTTAATAATTTAATATTTTGTAATTTAAACGCTTAATCAAATTTATCAGAATCGACATTATAGAAAAATAATGATTTTGTTTTAGCAGCGAAAACACAAAAAAAGACCGTTGAAGGGGCAATATATAAACAGTGGTGAGTGGTAACAAAACATCGAGAGCAGAGAACAGAGACAGACAGACATGCCAATTCGCGGGATCCAGACTCCTTTTCTTAACCATATTTTATAAAACCATCTGAAATCCGCCCTCTCTCTCTCTCTCTCTCTCTCTCTCTGTGTGTGCCACCGCACGGCCTTTACGTACACTCTTCAAGTGCTCTCTTCCTCCATCTCTCGAGCTCCGATAGAGAGAGACTTTTCCTTTTCTCTTTTGCGGACAACGAGAGACAGAGAGAGACGTTGTTTTCTACAAGAAAGTGACGTTGCAGTCTCGCAGTTCAATAAGAGGACGAAGAGTAAAGTGAGAGAAGCAGCATTACAAGTTCTACACTGAGCAGCAATGGGGAGGACTAGATTCAACCTTCTCTTTGCGATTTCACTGCTGCTTGTGCTTTTTGGTACTCTTCTTTCTTCTTCTACATTTTTCCACTTTCCCCCTTCTTTCTTCTCCGTTTCTTCTTTTTTAATCCTGGAACTCTTTCATAAATGGGGTACTTTTTTTTCTCAACGATCTCATTTTATGTTAATACATTCAGATCTTTCTTATTTTGCTGCCATTGACCGTTTAATCTTTCATTTGCACCCCGAAAACCTTGTCTTTCTTTTTAGTGTTTGTCTGCTTTTTTGTTTCCGGTTTCTTTCTCCATTCCGTAAACTGTTCGTCGGCGAAATGTTAGTCTCAGCAGCTAAATATCTTCACTTTCTTGTGTGAGAAACGAAATGAACTTTCTTAAGGCCACCTTCTAATTTTGTTAAATCACTGGTTAGTAGCTGTATTTACAGCTCAGTAATGAAGTTGGTGACCTTTCAACATGTTGTACAGAGCTAGATTGCATATATTTAAGATTGTGGGTCACGTTTTTTAATGTTTTCCTGGCAGTTGTGGCACCAACCCGTCTATGTGAGTGAATTTTCTAAGCTCACGTGCATATTAATTTATGAACTCATGATTGTAAGAATCAGTATCATACATTACATTCAGTGATGTGATCAATGTCTATAATCCTGTATGTTCTCCAGCCATGTCATTGTTTTTTTTAAGGGGGGATTGTGGATTTAGTGGCAAGGTTGATCTGATAATTGTGCTTAATCAAGTTAATCCAAATCAGTGGTTTCTAAGGGAACCATAAGCTGGTGAGATTGGTTTAAGTAGTCCCTTTAAAAACTCCATATTCTTTCATAGGGCTCATGATATTCCTTACCTAGTTCCTTTAGGTTGTATTCACACTGTCACACGCAAGCCTTGCTGCTTGAATTATGACATGCTCATTTCTGTTACATACGGTACTTACTGAGTTATCAACACTAGACCACAAATTTGCTACATTAGAGCATAATTACTGGGACATAATGATCGCTTTGTAATGGTTATAACTGGCATCTGAATATGCGTTATCATTTAAGCAGAGGTATTATAAAGTAGACAGACAGGCGCACAAGAAAGAATGCCTGGTAGCTGTTCAAATATGGATTACCGCATTACACTTAAGGAGAGTTATTGTAAAATAGATAGAAAAGTGTACAAGACAAAAAATGCCTTATAGCTGTCAATGAAAACTAAGTCTCAGTTTTCTCAATGGAAGTCCTTTGTTCATTATCTATAGCATTCTTCCAATGTGTTTTCCTTTTCATGCCGTATATATTCCTAAAAGAAATATCCCACAGCTTAATCCAAGATTGTGAACTTTGTCTTTAATGGCAGATTGTTGTTCTGGAAGCAAGATTGGAATTTGCTATGGAAGAAATGCTGATGACATCCCTACACCTGATAAGGTTGTCCAGTTGATTCGACAGCATAATATTAAATATGTGAGGATCTATGATTCTAATATCCAGGTTCTCAAGGCATTTGCAAATACTGGGGTGGAACTAATGGTTGGGGTTTCAAATTCAGATTTGTTGCCCTTCTCTCAGTTCCAATCTAATGCAGACACTTGGCTACGGAATAGCATTCTTCCTTACTACCCAGCAACAAAAATCACATACATAACAGTTGGTGCTGAAGTCACAGAAGCCCCAAACAATGCCTCTGCACTGGTTGTACCTGCCATGCAAAATGTTCTTACAGCTTTGAAAAAAGCTGGTTTGCATAAAAGGATTAAAGTTTCAAGCACTCATTCCCTTGGTGTTCTATCTCGATCGTTCCCTCCCTCTGCAGGGGCTTTCAATAGCAGTCATGCGTTTTTCCTGAAACCTATGTTGGAATTCCTTGCTGAAAACCAGTCACCATTTATGATCGATATATATCCTTACTATGCTTACAGAGATTCTCCAAGTAATGTGTCTCTGGACTACGCACTTTTTGAGTCATCTTCAGAAGTCATAGATCCAAACACTGGATTAATTTACACCAACATGTTTGATGCCCAGATTGATGCCCTTTATTTTGCCCTGATGGCACTGAATTTCAGAACAATAAAGATCATGGTTACAGAGACAGGTTGGCCATCCAAAGGTTCTCGCAAGGAGACTGCTGCTACCCCTGATAATGCCCAGACATATAACACAAATCTAATTCGTCATGTCATTGATGATTCTGGGACTCCTGGAAAGCCTGGCGAGGAGCTAGATGTGTATATTTTCTCATTATTTAATGAGAACAGGAAGCCGGGATTAGAATCTGAAAGGAACTGGGGCTTATTTTATCCAGACCAGACTAGTGTCTATAACTTAGATTTCACCGGAAAAGGCACTGCTTTCTTGACACCAAACTCAAGTATTACAAATTCAAGTGGAACAACATGGTGCATTGCTTCTTCCAAGGCTTCTGAAATGGATTTGCAGAGTGCTTTAGATTGGGCTTGCAGTTCTGGCAATGTGGACTGTTCTGCTATTCAACCTAGCCAGCCTTGTTTTCAGCCAGATAATCTGGCTTCACATGCATCATATGCATTCAATAGTTACTACCAACAAAATGGGGCTACTGATGTTGCCTGCAGCTTTGGTGGGGCTGGGGTAAAAGTTGACAAGGATCCTAGTATGTTCATTTATAACTTAAATGTTTTTCTTGTTATTGCTTTATGATGACCTATCTTTTGGGACATCTTATCTGCATCAAGCCTCATTCATCTATCACCTAAAAGTAGCTTCAATCACATTTGGAGTCTGACCTTGAAGTCCTTTTTAGGCTACAGAGTATAGATTGTTTATAATGATCCTGAGTTTTGTTTTCTAACTTTATCAGTATGGCAGTATCCATCCAATTGTCATTATTTTATTGTTGCTTCAGGTTTTTGTTAGTAAACTGATTCACATTAGAGCTTCATCCTCTCTTTCTGGCGGGAAGTAGGGTCGGTTTGGCTTAGTTAACTGATTCTTACTATTTGTGCAGGTTATGATAATTGCCTGTATATGACTGCCGGCAGGTTAGTTCAAAGATTGCCTACATTTTTGTTTTGATATCTTATTCTTTCTGCGGGAGATCTTGTCATTTAACTCATTGTATCATCATGCGATTATTATGCAGCACGAACAAGACGGCAGCGAGTAATACTAATTCAACAGCACTTGCTTCATCGACCTCTTTGTCCACGCAGAATCAATCATTTACTTGGATCTATAGCTTCTTTCTTATCATCTCGCTCTCCTTTTTGAATGTTTGCACAATGTTTGGAGATGCTTGATCTCGAGGGAACATTTTAAGGACAGCATAAGATGATTATCGAACAGACAACAGAGCGGGATTGTGATGTATTTGATTGGATAAGTTGGTGGTGAACTGAAATGGGGGTAAGTGGGTGTGGAGCAGCATGGGGTTGTGCTTTGTTTGTATGATTATGATATTATTTAAAAAGATGGGTAGGAAGAATAGTTGGTCTGCAGGATGTTTTTTGCACATAATGGAAGTGTAGGATATGACAATTTGTGCTGTGAGTTTGCAGCTTCTGTTTGTTGAATGTACCATGCGGTGTCTGAAAGCAAATGAAGTCAGTTTAAGATAAAAACTACGTGAGATTTTTAAGTGCAAGCATATAGTTTTATGTTGGAGCGGAATGATCCTGATGGTATCAGCTTTTTGTCAAGCATTTTTAGTACATGAATTTTGGCGACACGGCCGGGAGATGACTCCTAATCAGCTTATTTATTTGTTTTTATTTGTTTTTTTTTTTTTGTTTTTTTGGGATGATCTTAAAACTTTCATATGTCAGTAACTACTTTCCTGAAGTATCACCCACAGTACAAATAGAGGGCATAGTTTTTCAAGTTTCCCGTGTAGAAAATCTGAAGTGAACGGGAAGGCCACTATAGGATGTCTTTATCTGGCATAAATTGTAATATTTTGCTGAAATGAAGCTCAGTTTAGTTACGGTAATATTAATGAGTTAAATTGTAAGTCTCCTGAAGTAGATGTTATGTTGGTTTAAAATATATTAAGTACTAAGTTTTATGTATTGGGTGAAATTTAAACTCATAATTTGAATTTGAAGGAGAAAATTGAAAATTTATTTTGTATATGGATTGGTATTCACGAAATAAGATTTACATTACCCTATTTATGGGAAAGGAAGACACCAAATTTACATAATAATTTCTCACCTTTTGTGATTGCTCGATTAAGCAGGCAGATCCTTTCTGTCCACCAATAAAGAAAAAGCAGTCAAAGGTTAAACAGATCTTCCAAGGTCCAATTTGGTCTCCCATGTCATGAGTAATCCCATTTACCACGTAGAAACGAATCTTCCCATATCTTGTTTAACTTAAACCAGAGAAAAGAGCAAATCAGATTTAGAATAGGAATCTTTTTGGCATTCAAGCTCATCCATCAAACTTCTACAGACATCATTTTGCAAAGCCAAAGAATTTCTCCTCATATTCGCCAATAAAAATAAATGGATCAACAAAACCACAGCCAACAGAGATTTGCCAAACCATATTCCAATCAATTAAAACACCCATTACATGAAATCCACTGTATGACAAGAGTACCTCACTCTGGCAATCATACTAATACTTCCTATCAAACCAAGTTCAAGGGCAAACTATGATAAAATATCCATCAGTTTCGAAAGCATGAAATTTCCTTCTCCCACAGAACGTTTCCCAAGACTTTTAAATACTTATAATATTATTTTGACTGCATCTGAACATTACAGCAGAAGAAAGACAAGATGCAAATCTGTGTAGAGGCCAAGAAATGTGAGATGAACAACAAGGTCAGTGTTTTAAAGACCCTGCTCGATAAGATAATCTCCAAGCCTTTCAACTATCATGTTGCACTGGCCAGGAGTCATAGGCTCATCATAAATACCAATGATCAAGGCATGACCGGTCTTCTTGATAGTAACGCCTCCAGGTCCCTGCACTCAGAATAACGGAAGGTCCATAAAACAACCAAAGAAATGAAAAATACATGTATGGTAGGAACAATTCAATTGTAGCTTTAGCAAATGGCTGTTCTAACTAAATCCCCTATTCAGGCTGTAGCAAATCATTGACCAGATTTCATTTTGTAAATGCAGCAGAATTTTAGGTTTAGAACTTATGCTTCCGACATTAATCACATTCAAACACAGTAGGCATTGCTACTCCATAACTGAAGGAAGTTTCCAAAGTATAAACACATTTATAATGTAAAATTTCATCACCTTCTTCCCTCGGATGACAGCTCCTGACTCGCCTTGGATTACCATGTATTTTGTGCCCCCAAGATATAATCCAGTTGGAGCAAGTGTTCCAGGTTCAGCAAAGTCAGTCATGATAGCAGTGACTTCTTCAGGCTTCAACTGAACCGCATCAATACCAAAAACAATTAGCATAGCTAGTAATGAAGAACCGAGATATATCGCATTTATTAAAAGATGTGAACGAACAAATGCATCTCTTTTCTTTTTTTTTTTAAGGGGGTGGGGGGAAGGGGGAGGGAGAAGGTTATACTACACAAAATGTACACTAGAACAGCAACAGTGCACCAGATCAGAACAAATTTGATGTCACAATTTTGTGGGCTGATTAAGCAGTAGTTATTAACACTTCTCCAGACGCATTAGTTATTAATACTTCCCATTTGGAGATGTAACGAAACTGTCAATGCTAACAAAACAAGGTAAGAAAATAAACCTTAAAGTTCTTCAACATTTATGGTTGTCCACATCATAGTAAAGATGGTAAGAGCAGTTGATTGGTCTTTGGGAATCTTATTTACAGTTTCCATGGTTCATTTGATCCATGAAATCCAAAGACATGTGAAAAAAGAAGGTTTAACTAAAACAACACCAACACTCAAACTATAAAACAGTTGATTGGCAAAGAACATATAGATGTAGCCAAATGAAAGAGAAAAGTAGGAAATCGCTTTTAAAATTTCCATACTCTCCATTTAAGGATGTGATTGGATGCGTGCAGCTGAAATGGAAAAAGGATGTAAGTTATACAGCACCCTCACATAATAGAAAAATCACATCATGACACCTCAGCATCGAATCTAAATTGCCGAAACTCATAATGCTGTAGCCTTATTATATGTCGCAATCATCTAACTAATTATACTTTCTGTTTGGCAGTTAATACAACCATCAAAACTTAACAAAACAAGCTAAGAAAACAAATGGTAAAATTTTCGAACATCTATAATAGTCTTTCTCGGCAACATGATCACAATAATGTTGGAGTGTCCTGTACAGATCCAATTCATATTTTCATGATCAGTTTGATTCATGACTTACCAAAGGCCATACTTTCTTTCACACTCAAAAACATTTGATCCTTCACATCTTTACTTCAAATAAGACAAGACACCCACTTTCAGTCGGGATACATAGACAATCGGCCAGTAACTCAATGATCACTCATTGATACCGTGCTTAATTGTTTTGAAACCCTAAACCACAATCATTCCAGTGGGTTTCTCGACACCGTATTAAGCACAAACGAAGATATATACGCACAACAATCATCTCATCTCTAAAATATTTTGACGAACACTGACAAATACCATGCATGACCAGAACAAAAGATAAAGGGAAGGGAAAACATATCAAATCAAACTCACAAATCTACCAACAAAATGAAATCAACCAATGAGTAACCCAAGATACACAAGATAAGAGGTAATAATATGATAGACAGGATCCCAGAAACCAAAGTTGACCCTAAAAATCAAAGAGCAACAGATTAAAAAAAAAAAAAAACCATTTCGACAAGAAAGAACCTGGACTGATATCAATTAACTCGAACGAAGTCAGATCAGCAAATAAATCGTATAAATCGCATGAGAACAATTGACACAGCTGACAAGAAATCCTTGAAACAGGGATAAGAACAATCAAACATGCATATTATAATCAGATCCGAACAAAATCGTGTTAATTTACTAATACATATAAAAAAAAAAAAAACCATGTCTATTTGATTCGGGAGAAGACCTAGATCAGAGAGAAGGAAGCAGCGGAGGGGAGAAGGGGAACCTGAGGGAAGTTGGAGCTCTGTGCCCAAATGCTGCCGTCATGGCCGATGATGGCAGCATCGGTGAGATGATTGCCTTCGATATCGCACATAAGGTGGTCATCAACGTAAGCTTGCCACGACATCTTGTTGTTGTTCTTCTTCTTGTTCTTCTTTGATGTTGGTAGAGGGTGTCTGTGTATGAATCTATTCGCTTCTGGGTTAAGACTGAGATTTCCGTGTATTTATGTTGACGGATTGCGTTAGCTGAACCCGTCGTGGGCTTGACTGCCAGCAGACACTGGGATATAGCGTTGAATCTACGCGATGTTCATAAACTAAATAAAAATTATAAAAAAATAAATATCTTTTTTTTTTTTTTTTCACTTGATTTTCAAGATAAGTCCGTCGTCTTCTTTCATTCTCCACTTTTCTTTTAAAAATAAAAAAATAAAAATAAAAAATAAAAAAATTCTTCAACCCTAAACCAAAAAATTCTAATCTTTTTATTAATCATTAATTTTTATTTTAAAAAGATTTTAACTCTTTATTTGTTTATTAAGGTCAAGCTTCATCACTCTATTATTATTTTTGTAGACTATGAATCTATTGTAACCCAAATATAATATAATATAATATATGTTTTTTTAATATGAAACATGTTAGTGTTTAAAAATCTTGATAGACACACTTGAAATATACTTTTGATGCTACAAAATATTTTATAAAAAAAATAAATTTAATAATATCACGATTTTAAATTTATGATAAGATTATTTAATTTTTTAATAAAAAATTACTATATTCGTCATTCTTTATTTATGTATTAAAATTTTTAAAAGTTGATACACTAAGAACCAATATTATTTAAAATTAATACATTCAAATTGTTAAAATATTTGTCAACAATAATAATTTGAAGCATACTCAATGCACATTTTACACTTATTTCGCTGAAAATGTTGGATTAGAAAAAAAAATGACGAATAAACATAAAAAAAAATCTAACAAAAATAAAGAGAGCATAACACATCTATTTATTTTGAAAGTTTATCCATGTTTCTTTCTCTTATTTTGGTTGCAATATGAACACTAATTTCGAATGCTGAAAATTTAGTAATTAAACATAATAACTTGTCATTTTTTATAATAATAATACATATTCATTTTATTGTTTAAATAATTTTTTTATTGCTATCATATTATAATAGTGTCATTTAATCATTACATCCGTATATATTTTGATAATATATATACCATTAAAATTATTAAAATATCTTAATATTTTTAAAATTGCATAATAATAATTCACCTTTTTTAAAAAAAGAAAAAAAAGGTTGTTGGTGTCTAGTTGATTTTTTTTTTTTGAAGCTTAGTTTATCTATATTTGATTATTATTATATTCATATATTATAACAATAAATGAAATTCTAATTGTATTAATTTAAAATGTTAAAGATAAAAATTGAGCACGAAATAACTAAATCGTCCTTACATAAAAGAATTTCAAACATTCTCTCTCACTTTCTCCATTATGATTATTTAGATAGAGATTTTTAAATTTTTATTAAATCAAGAGATTTTGCCTATGAAAATAATTATAATAACTATCAAGAAACATGTATTATAAATCGTCTTCAATAGTCACGTATAAAATTCTTATTGAGAGATACGCATGCTTATTTGTAGTTATAATAAAAATATCACATTCTTATAAATGGTAAGAAACTCATAAATTCAGTATATTTTAGTACTTTCAACTTTTCAATTACAATGATAGGCAAGAAACTTTTCATATTAAGAATTTATGTGAATTACTTCAATAAATTTATTTTTTAATAAGTATTTATGTTCTTTTTATTACATTAACTTTTAAGTAATTGATGTGATCAATTAAATTATTTTAGTAGTATTACTATGTACTAACTTTTGAATTGAGAAATGTTTGAAGTACTTTAAATAATGAAAGTACTTGAAACTATAGTCCATCAATATTGAACCAAAATCTTCCTCAAAAGTTATATATATATATATATAGCATTAAATAATGAAAGTAATCGTATATTAAATAATCATTTGAGTAACATGTGATAAAAGAAAATACATTTATTAACATTTAAAATTATATTTCAACATAATTATATCCTATTATTATATAATATTTTAGTATCTAAAAAGTGATTTACATTTTTCTAATTAACATGAAACATCGAACGTTATTTTGATAAGAGTCAATATATGAATATTTAATCATGTCTAATAATTTTTTTAAATTTAAAAATTTCATAACGTCAAAAGTTACTTTTAAATTAATTAATTTTATGATTTTTCATATTTAATTATAAATTATTTAAATTAGTTAAAATAAATATCGGGTACGTTACATGTTACTCACCATTAAATATTGATTTTTACCTCTTATATTTAAACAAAAAAGAATCTTTTTGCTATTCTAAATTTTCATGGTTGCTCATTTTTGCTCTTTTGTCTCCCATATTGATTTAATCATCAAAGAGTTTAAATTGGATCATTCTCTGGCATTGTGCATATTTGAGGTAAAAGCTAATGACGATATTCTAAGCCAACCATGCAACACTGAATAACTGGCATATATATATATATATATATATATATTCTCATCATAACTTCCAACTTTAATCTAAATTATATATGCTTCTCATTTTAAAAGCATCAATTATTCCAAAAGGATACCTTCTTATTTTCAGGGAAACCTCTTAATCATTTTTCTTCTCTGTCAAATTTAATCATCGAGGATTTGCTGCCCATCACTTTCCACTGATGCATGCTCTGACTGCATAATTACTTTTATATTCCTACACGCACCAAATTGCAATCATTTTGTTCCACTTGCTTTCTCAGATTATATTCTTTTTGAGTTTTTACATGTCCTGGTTTGAATCTATTTTACATTTTAACCAAGAATATAAAAAAAAAAATAATAATAATAATTGGGGAACCAAGATGTTTTCTTTATGTTGCAAAATCTTAATGAGTCACTTGTAGCGTTTGGATTTCAGATTATTTTTAGAAGAAAAGAAAAGGGTTTTTAATGTTTCCTTTAGGCCTTTAACCCAGGAGATTTCTGGGTATGGGGACAGATTTTATGAGGTCAGATCTTGTACTAACTTAAAGTGCTTTAATCCCATGGGTCATGATTCCAACGAAATGATATGTAAAAAGAATTTGATTTCCTCCCCAGTGGGGTTAGGCTACTTTGCCAAGCTTTTACAGCAAAATATTCGATTCAAAATATATATTCAAGAAAGGTGCTTACAATTCCAGCAAATATAAATGGAAAAAAGCAAAAAAGAAAAAAGAGTACAAAACTTAAAAGCATACAACCCAAACAACCGTTTTACTTCTCACATAGTTATTGTCTGCAAGATCTTCGCTGCCAATGCAGGGATTAAGGAGGAGGAAGATGCAAACTTGGAACCAACAAACAAAAGGACAACAAAAAGAACAATACTCGTGCCCTCCAAAAATGAATACTAGTATGATGATATTTATGCAACTCTGGCTTACAGGCCCTGATCAATGAGGTAATCTCCCAACCTCTCGACAACCATGTTGCATTGCCCTGGAGTCACTGGTTCTTCATATATCCCAAAAACAAGAGCTTGGCCAGTTTTCTTTACAGTGATGCCCCCAGATCCCTATCAATTATCCAAACACTTAAACGTTAACCATATCTATTTATTACAAAGTAAAATCTTTTAAATTCTTGGTTCATATTCATCACCTTCTTCCCACGGATGACAGCTCCAGCCTCTCCCTGGATTACCATGTACTTTGTGCCACCAAGGTGTAACCCAGTGGGAGCAAGGTGACCTGGTTCCTCAAAGTCTTTCATGATGTCAGTGATCTCCCCGGGCTTGCACTGGAAAAAAATATATAGCTATACAAGTCAGAAATCCTTGAATTTGGAAATTTAATTGATAGGGAAAGCAATTAATGCCCAATTAAATGGACCATCCTGTGCCAAACCATCTCAGAAAGCTTATACAAGGTGCACAAACAAAAGTGCAATTAGACGGGATCGATATTCGAGGAGAAAAGTCATATGGTGTGATTACTGATGCAGAGCTTAAATTGAGGACATGCATGCATCAAAGAAAACCATGCCTCAGTTCAACAAATACGTTTGAATTTAATACTGTTTTAAACATGCCGCTTGGCTATCATATTAAATCCAAAATAAATCAAAGCAAAATTTGCAGTGACCATTAGGTGTTGATTTCTGAACAGAAAATCCAAAAAAATCAGTTACAAGTCGATGACCAGCAATATTAATCACTATGCTGATGGAGTCGTTAATCTATTCGCAATACATATTATATTCAAACACATAATCAACAGATCCAAAACCATAGACACGTGATGCACACACCAAATCTCAAAACTAGGATTAAGAAAAGAGAAAAGTCGTTCAAAAGAAATGAAAATTTAACGTACAATGACATAAACACACAGGTCATTATCATCATTCGTTCTATTACGCTTGGCAAATAACAGCGATTCAACATAACAGTCCTAATCGAATCGCATTGTGGAGAACCAAAAAAAAAAAAAAAAGTAAAAGAAAAATCCGATCATTCGAGAATCACATTGCGGTGTCAGCGATGGACAGAAACAAAATCATTATCGTACGAAGTTGATTGATTCGAGGAAGGATCAAAAAATACAAGTAAAAGAAGAAAAGCAGATAAAATGGAGTAGAAAGTTGATAAAAAGAAAACCTGAGGGAAGTTGGCGCTCTGAGCCCAGACGCTACCATCATGGCCGATGATGGCGGCAGCAGTGAGATGCTGGCCTTGGCCATCGATATCGCACATCAAGTGATCGTCAACGTAGGTTTGCCACGACATATTGGTAGGGTGGATAGGTCGGTGGCGCGCGGTCTTCGAAAGTAATTTGAAGTGAGGTTATATGTTTCTCCGGTGCCGGTGATTGTAGTAATGTGTGTTTTGTGCGCGTGCGTGGAGGTGCGGGTGTTGTGAAATGGAAGATGAAGGAGGGTGTTATGAAATGTGGTTTGATAAATAGGGGGAGGAAGGAAATGGTGGGGGAGATTTGAACAGTGAGATTGATGGAATGTGAGCCGTCCGTTTTGCTGGATTCAATTAGTGCCATTCACGTCCGCCTTTATTTTAGCTCAACGTTTGCCCCCCCTCCCTCACGTGTCTTTTACCCCACCCGATCCTCTTTCTTTTCCTTCCTTTTCTCCCTCCCTCTTCCCTAATTTTTCATTTCTCCGAAATTATTTCTTCTTCATTTCCTTAAATCTTTTAATCTTGTACAACTAATTATGACCACGACTCAACCATGCTTTTTTCTCCCATTTTTCAAAATTTTCGTTCTTGCTTTTTCTTGTTTCCCATCTGATTAAGATGTGACTTGAACTTTTCCAAAGAAAATTATGTGTAATTGTTGATTTTATAACCATTCATGCCCGTCTGCTCTTCTTTTTTTCTTTTGTGATAAAGCTAGTTCAACAACTGCCACCTTTCGACCCAGAACCCTGCATTGGTTTTTTAAAAACACATCAGTGCCATTGGGTAGATGAAATTTGAACCATACACAACCAAATTCCTTCAAAGTTTTCACCATTTTCATTCTTTGATTCAACGTAACTCTCCTTACTTTAAACCACTACTGTTTCTAAAACAGAGTTCAACTGTTTGCTTCAATTGTCAAGGACCTTTCAACAAAAACTCTCACCGCGTTCTCATACAACATCTTTGATATACCTCCTCAGTGGCATGATATGGGAGAAAATTGCAACCAAAAAGGAAAAAAAAAAAAAAATATAGGCGAAATATTCCTGTCTGTTGCAGCTATGTGCAAGGAGCAAACAATCAATCACTGAGTCTGTATGATCTCCCTCGAAATGCCACACCGGTATTTCTTTCAGGCTGGGCTCGGCCGCTTGCTGGAGCTTCTAATCTCCACCTTTGCACCAGTTTATGTCTATATAACAAATCAAGGAAATACTGCAACAACATGAAAGGCAGTAAATAATGGGGGTCATCAGCCTCCGGTCATCAATTACAATTTTTTTTCCCATTTTTAATTAAAAATCATATTTCAAGTCTGATATTGGTTTTTTATCACCATCTTACGAAGAGAGAGAAAAGAAGAGTCCAATTTGAATGCATGTAATAAAAGAAGATACTGCAGTGTGAATAATTAATATCTCAAACTGCTAGCAGGCTTATCACCTCAAGGAACCAATTAAAGGATACATGAACCTCGGAGTCTTCAAAAAGTTCTTTCCAGTGGCTAAGGGATGCAATACTGTCAGGAAATAGTATAAATGTCCGGCAATGATCCCCAGCAAGTCCGGTAAGAGAGGAGAACCAAAAATAACATCCAAAGCAAGCATTGCCCATGGTAGATAAAATGCCTGCAAATAGAAAGCTTCAGTACAACTGCATTCTACAAGCATTTGAAGATCAAACCAGTGGGAGCCCACAGACCCAACACATAAACTACTTGTACCTTGAGTCTGACAAGACCATATATATTGATTTGACCATCTGGAAATTCTCTACTCCAAATGTAGAGAAGCATGAATACGAGCGATATGCCTAAGAAACCGGACCGAAATATGGGGATAGCTGATAAAGCCTTAAGTTCCAGAAAGAACATTAGGGCAAACCAAGACAACAGAAACATTACATTAGGAAGAATTTTTGACAACCAAGCAAATATTAGCAAGATAAAAAATTAATATAGAGCAGTTCGGGATATACTACGTTAAGCCTTAAAACAGAAGCATAAGTTTATTTCTCTTATTTCGTTATCTTGAAAAATAAATTAAGAATGACTTTCATAATGGATTTATTAACTCCAACTCGGACAGGCTTCTGTCAGCCTGACCAGTATTTCTGGCCTCTCTTCACATAATGAATCCGTAATCTTCTAAGAAATACAATTACTTTGGTTCACAAGAATAAATAAGATGAATAACAATGAACATAATTCCACATACCAGTAATGATAAGGATCCAAAAATCATCATCCACAAAAAATCTGCAGTACGCCTTTCAAATGGTCCCTTCTCAAGTTGGACTCCATATCTTGCTCTGTGTAGTCATTAAAATCACAATTTAAACTATTACACCCAGGAAAAAATGTAGCCTCTTTAAAATTATGAAATAACCCCGCCATTTTCACAGGAGAAACAATTAAATTACACTGAACTAACAATAGTAAAATGCATTTAACTAACTGTTGTTGAACTCGTACTTACATCATTAAAAGGCGTATCCCAAAATTGATAGAGAATTTGCCAAGGAAAAAGAAATTTGTAATCAGTCTCCAAACCTACAAATAATGTCAATTAAAGGAAATATTATGCTGGCTAGTTTGGAAAGAAATGATAATGCACATCTGAGAGAGACAGAGAGGCAATCCACATAATTATTTCTAAACACAACAAGAACTTCAGTCCAAGCACAAGCTGGTCACCATCCTAAAAAAGCCATTCATTTTGTTAACTAGATTAAAGAGAAGGAAAGGGAGTCTGTATTGGACAGAAGAACAAACTCCTTGAGAACCCAAGGTTGCAGATAAAAGTTCTTAAGTTTTTTATATATGATAAAACAGATGACTCTTCCGTCTAAGTATAAGCCGGTCATGCATATCCTAAAAGACCATTCATTTTGTTAACTATAAGAAGAGAGGGAAAACAGAGTCGACAGCTTGAGAACTCAAAGTATCCAGACTTCAGAAATGTTATTCTGGGAAAAGAAAACAGGTGAATAAACCTTGACAGCAGTATTTGGACCTACACAGGCAACTCAGAAAACAAAAGATTTTACAGTCCATAAGTCTAGCACATGACCCATAGTCAAATTGGTTATGGTCCTTATGGATAGTCATAGAAATCTAGAGCACCAATATATTATTTTTTATTTCACTCTGGAATACCAGAATTTCATTCATCAAATCATGCTTTTTTTGGCATAGAATATAATACAAAAAGTAATTTTTAACATAAAAAAAAGTCAAACTACATATAGTAAAGAGATAAAAACGCAATAATTAAGCTAGGGAAAATCATCTCCCAGTAGAAGAAGAGGATTTCTAAAATGAAGTTGTTGATATCATGATTGCTTGATCCTGGCCATCACTATGCCTGAAACATTGTTGTCAAAGATGAAGCTAAGCACTTGGTGATGAAACAGCTGCAGTTCGTACAACTGTCCACAGTGGTCCTCAAACAGACCTCCCATTAAGTGCCATTTTGATTTTGCAATTAGGAGCAAAAGAATTATATAGTTCTCCATAGCATAAAATTACTGTCCTATTTATCAACATTTGAAATAGAAAACATTAAATACAACTATGTTATGTGCATAACCCAGAACTCGTTTGCCACTCAGGTCTCCCACTGTTGGAGCTGTGGGAAATAAAAGTTGGAACAGAAGCCACAAGTAGTGGACTACCAGTAGACTTCTGCCTCTCCTATGGATATTTGGATGTATAAGATGAGTCCACATTAGGATTCCCTTTAAATTACTCTTCTACTCTGAATTTACTTAGAACAGTATAGTTTGAAGTTGGACAAGATACTAGTATTTAATCCTAAATTGTAGGAGCTATCCTCCCTTTAAGTACCTATCTATATAATGAATAAAGGATGCAACATCCACTATAAAATTAGAGTGTTATTCACAGACAACCCAGCCATATGCTGTACTGGTGTAAGTTTAATCAGCAAGATTCACTGTTGCTGGAAAAAAATCTCCCTCCATGGGCCTGTGACCCAATCCAGGTAGGGGAACTTGAGAAACTTTCATAACATACAACAAACATGTTATTTAAAAAAAAAAATACATACAACAAACATGATACTGCTTATGAAGATATCAATAAAGTATTCAACTTCTCTCCCCTGTAATTCACAGAAAATGCGTACTTACCTGAAAATGTGAGAAAACATCTTCATATATCAGTGCAATATATAGAGGGTGAACTATTCCCAATTGACATACTATAGTTGTCAACAGGCACGCAGTCCCATAAGCCTTTGTTATAGGTGGAAGAGAGTTATAGAATCTGAAATGAACAATGGTTAAAAGAGTTTATCCAACATACTAAAAACAGCGAACTATAATAAAGCTATGCACGTAAACTACTGATATCATTAATCCAGCAACTACATCAATCTAATGACAAGAAAATTAGAAGGGAACAACATATTAGCAATCATATTAACCAAGACACTCAAACTATTTTTCCAAAACTCATGGCAATACCATCACAAGCATCAGCAGCTTCAGCCAGAAATTCATTAAGTCCAGGGATGCTCCAATACATGAAGAACTTGCTAAGCGAGTAAAGTTATTCATTTGAATGTAGCCACTTAGAAGTGAGTGAATGGTTATTACAGTGGCATAACATGCAATGGAGAGATCCAAAAGTGTGTGAGACCGAAAAACCAAAAGTATCATCATGAGATATTATATAAGATATAACCCATTCTTATTCTCACAAAAATATAACCTATTCTACAAAATCTTAACAACCTGAATTTTAAATGTCATGTATGCAGGAGAAACAAAGAATGACTTGACTTGAGCTGACTGCCCAAGTATATTTTTTTCTTTTTTCCTTCTTTTTTTGTGCCAGCCACCTAGGTATCTTATTTAGGAAAATTGACGGTTCTAAGAGATAAGAAGAAAATTCTAAACAAGGGATAATGCTCTAGAAGGCTTTCCTGCTACTTGTATTCAATCTATTCTTTGCATAAAGATTTGGTAAGCGTATCATGATATGTTAAAAAATTCTGTACTCTGTAATACAATTTGAGGTTTCAGATTGACAGTTTTGCAGATGCAAGTCATACTTCTGCACTGAGATTATTACAAAGACATAGACTTTCTTAACTTGAATTAATATACTTTGTACTTGAGATTCTACACCAATACAGTATCGAGAGTTGGGTCAAAATATTCCCAGATGCAACTCAAAGTTTTACATCCTGAGACGATTACAAAGACATTTGATTTTGTTAACGTGAATGAATAGACTTCGGACTTGAGAAAACAATCATCACCTGTATGCTTATTCAAAAAGGAAATTACCAAATGGATCAGTCTATGAGATAAAGCAACATGAAGTATGCATGCATGAATTTCACATATAAAACGAGAAAAAATAATATGAATCTGGGTTAAGAAAGTCGAGGAAGAGCAGTGCATAGCTTTACTCTATTCAAGAAAATACCAATTCAGGGACCAATCATAAGTGACCGCATCTAAAACTATTTCACAAAGAAAAGATAACCGAACAAGACGTCAAAATTTGGACACCGAAACATAAAACAGTGAATGTAAACATTTATGAACTAAACCATAAGTCGAGAAGATGAAATCAAGATTACCAAATAAAACGCGTAAAAACTGCAACAATTAAACAACACATAAATATGAGCTGCAAAAATGACCAAAAGAAGTATAAAAAAAATTGAGAGAAAGAGAAGAGAAGAATACTCGGCAGGAGTAGACATTGCAGGTTGAAAATGCAAAAATTGAAGGAGAAGCCCCAAATTGAGGGATGGTGATGGAAGAAGAAAAGGTTTGTCTGGTCAAGGAAACGGTTAGTAATAGATTTTTTGTACGGCAACCAGAATGTTCTGCGTTATTGGGCTCAAGTTATCAGGCCCATTAAGAGCCAAATGGGCCTTTACTTTAGTTTTGCAAGCAAATGGGAGAATTGTGTCTGGATTGGAAGAAGAAAGAAAAAGAAAGCATATAATTCTGCCAATTTCTTGTTAACTTTAGTTTTTAAAAATAACAATGAAAGAAACAAGGAGATGATAACCATTACTGATTTTTTTTTTCAAAAAATTAAAAAAAAAAAAACTTATTTTTTGTCCTCTAAATTAGATGGGAAACAATGCATTTTATTTTGCTGAGAAAATTTAAATTTAGTGAAGATAAACCATAAAAATTTGCAAATCTTTTTAAAGTTTTTTTTAGTATATTTTTTTCTCTAAAGCTTTAAATTTAGATTATCATTACGAGAGATATAGAATAATGATAGCATCTTTTATTTTGTGGGTGCATAATTAATGTTGTTCATTTCTCTTTAAGCATTCGAAAATCATACTGAACTGATTGTTTGGTCCAAAATAAATTAGATAAAAACAAAAATAATTTAATCCCATATTCAAGTATTTTGAAGCCAAAAATTCAGTCCATATCAGTCCAATCACTCTATCAACATCCGGTAAGAATTCATATTTAAATTGTATCTAATGACAAGTATTATGTGGCCTAACACATTTAGTGAAACTTTAATCCTTACATAATCTGTCTATGTACCGTCCCTTCATGTGAAATTAATTTCCAATACTTTTCCAATTTTGTTAGAATATTATCACGTATTAGTCTTGTTCAATAGGCCTGTGAGCGAGGTATGTTATTCTTATCTATAAGGTAGTTTCAGATAAATCAATATCTTTATTTCGAAGTTCAAGTTTACAATCTTTTAAAATTATTAATGAGTGTATTATGTTCCAAGCCCCTCTACCACTTATTTTCTTTTTATCAACTTAATATTCAAAAGAACATAGAGGAGAATTTTTACCAAATGTCTAAAAAGACTCTTATTGATTCTCCACATATTGCTTAAAACTTGTTGTACTGTTTTAAAATAAATAGTCCTCGGAGAGGGAATCTTACCCACATTTAAGAGTTCCCATAGACTGCTCTTATCTGGATTCTCTACTAATAGTAATGGTTATTCTAAATCTATATGACTTGGCTTGACTATCAATGAATTCATCTGCTCATTAAATGTTTTATATTTCTTCTC